GCTGGGCTTGTCGGCCCCATGCTGGGCTTGGAATCCTTCTGTAGTCACTTGGCTGGGCTTGGAATCCCTCTGTAGTGACTTGGCTGGGCTTGGAATCCCTCTGTAGTCACTTGGCTGGGCTTGGAATCCCTCTGTAGTCACCCTGGCGTCTGTCACCACTGAAGTGCCTGTGAAATTGTGCTCCCAGCGTGACAAATGACCCCGGGGGAGGAGGAGCTGTTCCCGTTTTTCCCGGGTTCAGCAGCAAGGAGCTGTTTTTTTTTTTTTTTTTTACCAGAAGGAAAAGGGAGGCAGAGCTGTCCCAGATTCCAGCCCTCGTTGCTCCCCTTGGGGCGAGGCAGGAGGGAAACAAAGGGATGGAGGATGGGGATGAGCGACTTGCAGCTCGTCACCCCTCGTCCTTTTGGCCCTGCCTCCCCCTCCCTGGGCTGCTCCAAAAAAGCAGAGGAGCAACAAGAGGCTCATTTTGGGGGATAAACTGGGGGTGCACAGGATGAGGAAAAGCTTCCAGCTGTTCTCCCCTCCTGTCCCCTGCTCAGCTGGGACAATCTGCAGCGTGGACCTGCCCCTGCCCTGAGCCCTCTGTGCCCACAGGAACGATGTTCTCCCTTTCCCTGGGTCTGCTGAAGCCCTGCCTGGAGCCAGACCCATCCCAAAACAGATGCCAGGAGCAGGGGCCGGGGTGCCAGGGGAGCTGCCCGGGGCTGCCAGGAGCAGGAGGCCGTGCTGGGGAAGCTGGGCTGGGTCTCTCCTCTCCTGGGGGGCCACTAACCCCCCCTGCTCCTCTGCCCCGGCAGGTTCTGGTTCCGTCTCTACTGGTTCCCCCTCAAGGTCCTCTATGCCACCTGCTACTCCAGCCTCCAGTCGGTCCCAAACATCCCCTTCTACTTCTTCTTCAACGCTCTGCTCCTCATCCTCACCCTGATGAACATCTACTGGTTCCTGGTGAGTGGGGGGGCTCGGCCACCCCCGCCCTTGCTGCTCCCTCCCCCCTGCTCCTGCCCGGTGCCTGCTGCCTGTGCAGGGGCTGCAGGGCTGGAGGAGCCTTTGGAGGGGAGCAGGGAAGCCCCTGTTGGTTCCTGGGGGGGCTCCTGTGCTGGAATTCCGACCATCTCACACTCCAAGGACCCCTGGGGAGGGAGCGACAACAGCGGCTGGGACAGGCTGGGATTTGATCAGGGTGTGAATGTCCTGGCACCCCCCCAGGCATTGGGGAGGGGGTGGAAAGGGTGGATGTGGAGGGATCACATCAGGCAGAGCAGGGGAGCACCTAATTCCATCATCCTGCCTGATTCCATCATCCTGCCTGATTCCATCATCCCGTGGGATGAAATCGGGTGAGGGGAGTTGCAGGAATTCTGCCGCGGGTCTGAGCCACGTCCAGGGGGGTGCTGCCCTGCCCACGTGGGGTCTGGGGGGTGGAACAGCTCCAAACCTTTGGGATCTGTGTCTGAGGGTGTCTCTCCCCCCTCCCAGTACATCGTCCTGTTCGTGGCCAAGGTGCTGATGGGGCAGATGCAGGAGGTGAACGACGTGCGCGAGTACGACGTGGAGGACACCGGGAAAAGCGCCAGGGCCCGGAAGAGGGAGGCTGGAATCCAACTGCCCAAGGCTCTGAAGGAAGGGTACGTGGGCAGGGGGATGGCACACAGGGCCGTGGGATGGTTTGGGTTGGAAGGAACAGGGAGATCATCCAGTGCCACCCCACAAATCCCACTATCCCAGGGTGCTCCAGCCTGGCCTTGGACACTCCCAGGGATGACACACACACAGCAACTGTGGGTGAGGGGAAGGGACACTGGTGACCTCCCTGGAGCTGCTGTCACAGGGCTCACCCCCGGGCTGGAAGATGGGCATAAAACATCGCTGCAGGTGCCAGGAAGGACTTTAAATCCACGCCTGGGCATCGTGGGGTGCCCACCCATCTCTGTCCCGTGAATCCTCACCCAGCCCTTCCACGTGGGACCGGCTCTGTCTTGGGGCTGCTCCCTCTGAGCTGTGCTGGGGGATCCCCCAGGGCAGCTCTGGCTGAGCGGGGGCAAACAGGACAATCCTGCTGGGACAGGGGTGGCCTCAGCAGCGAGGGGGGACGGTGGGTGTGGGGACCAGGCCCACCGAGCGCTGCTCTGCTCCCCCACAGGCTGCACCTCAGGAACGGGCTCGTCAAGGACAAGAGGTTGTGAGGGCGGCGTGGCCGTGGCAGCTGCCAGGACCTGGCACCGACCAGGACCCTGCACTGGGAGCCAGCGAAGGAAAGGCACGAGGAGAACTTCATCCCTGACCCCCTTCCCTCCCCTGCCCGGAGCCGGGGAACAGATGCCACTGACAGGATCGGGCCCCTCCGGGGGGCTGTGACCAGGCTTCACCTGGTGCTGGGGGGCTCCCCTGTGGCCCCCCTTCAGTTGGGACACTGGTGGCTTTTGCTGGTCCAGGTAGGATTTGGAGCTGGCTTTGGGTCCCCTGGTGTTCCTCCCGTCGCTCCCGTCCTCAGTCCCGCCGTGATTCCCCCGACTCTGCTGTTGGACCCTCCCACCGACCCTTCCCGAAGGATCGGGGAGGGAAAAACCTCCTCTCCTGCCCCGGGAAGGGGAGCCCGAAGCCAGCCCTGCTCCAGCCGCCGGGCGAGGTGATGACGGGCACCTCGAGGTGATGAAGGGCACCTCGGAGCCTTCCTCCTCGGGAGGGGTCACTGGCACGGAGCTGCCCACCCCTGTCTGGGGCACAGGCGCTTCCCACGAGCAGCTCTGCCTGGAAAACCAGCCCTGGAGTGTTATTCCAGCCTCCTGTCCCACCAGGGGAGAGCCAGGAGAGACTTAATTTGCTTAAGAAGCCTGTGTAGGTCTCACAGTCACTTCAAAAACCAGTCCCAGTCCCTGCTGGGGGTCCCTGGACCCTCCCCCAGCACTGCCCACTCACTCCAGGGAAGAACAAAGAGTTCCTGCTCCCTGTGTTGGTTTTCCAGGCAGCTCCAGCCTCGGAGGGTCCCCAGGCTGGGCTGGGGGTCCCTGTCCTGGGAAGCCCTGTGGGTTTTAGTCCCTCAGACAGAGCTGTCCCGTTGCTGCCCACCCCCAGCTCCCTGCTGGGGACTGGGCAGCGGATCCAGGGTGTTAATTCCATGTTTTAATTGCCGGGTTGGTTTTCCCGTGGTTGGTCTGTCGTGTGGACTCGGCTCCGGGCTCGTGGTGTGAGCCAGGGGGGGAAAATTCCTGGCTGGGAAAATTCCTGGCTGGGGCTGGTGGGAACTGTCCCAGGCTGTGGCAGGACCCGTCACCTCCTCTGGGCAGTGTCCAAGGGGTGTCTCAGTGCTGGGCATCCTCGGCTTCCAGTGGAATTTGAGGGAAATGAGGGGACCTGCTGTCCCAGGACGGGCCGGAGCAGAGCTGGGGCAGGGCAGGATGGGGGGAATGAGGGTCCCTGGTCACCACGGGGGTGATAAACTCGATTTTACAGCGTTGGCTTTGAGCTGGTGGCCAGGTTTTTTGGGAGGGGGAGATGGCAGCTCTGCTGTGAGGGCCAGGAAGGGACTGGGGGTGTGACGGGGGGGGACACGGGGACCCCTCTGCCCAACTGGGGCAGGGACCCCCCCGGGCTGTGTGTCCTGAGGGCAGGGCACTGTGTGAGGCAAGACTTTGATGGTTTGATGTGCTGGGAGTTGATGGCCTTGAGAGAGAAGCATCGGTTGCATCAAAAAAAGCTGATTTGGGGGGAGGGAGGAAGGGGAGACCCGGCCCTGTATCCGCCCCTGGATCCAGGGGGGGATGTCTGTGCCATGTGGGGCTTCCCAGCAGCTTTGTGTGGGAAGAGCAGCCACCAGGGATGGTTTGGGGTGGGGAGAGCAGCCCCTTCCCTGCCACCAGGGATGGTTTGGTGTGGGAAGAGAAGCCCCTTCCCTGCCACCAGGGATGGTTTGGGGTGGGAAGAGCAGCCCCTTCCCTGCCACCACGGACGCTGTTGTTGACCCTGGACGGTGTGGAGATGTGGGAGAGGCTGTGGGAGCAGCACCAAGGGGTTAACAGGTCCCCAGGGGGGAGCCTGGAGGGACTCACACCCTCTGCCCAATCCCGGGAATCCCTCTGTGCTAATTGAGCACTAAGCAGATCAAAGGCTCCAATCAGGGAATCAACACCCCCCTGGCCTCATCTCCGGGTCCCCAGCCCGGGCTGCCCTTTGTCTGGAGAAGGAGAGCAGGGCAATGTGGCTTCTCCCCAGCCTGGCCTGGGCTCTCCTGAGCCCCGTCCTGGGGTCGGAGCTGAGCGTGCAGGAGAGTTTGTTGTTGAAATCCTTGGGCCTGAGCACCAAGCCCAGCCCGAAAACCCCCGTCCCGGTGCCCCCCGTGCTCTGGAGGATCTTCCAGAAGAGAAAGACGCCTCCCCCGACGGACAAAGACCCCCTGGATGCCTGTAGGGTGGAGGAATTTAATGTCCTCGGGAACATCATCCGAGTCCTCGCTGACCAAGGTACAGACACGCTTTTGGGGCTTTTGGAGGCCCCTCATTCTCTGGGATGAGAGGCTTTGCCTCATTCCTTCCTTTCCCTGAGGCTGAGGGAGGGCAAGGCAGTGCCCAGAGCTGGTTTCCAGGAGAAATCCCTGCAGAGTGAACACGGGTCCCCGGGGATGTTGCAGATGGGTTATTCTCAGTTTAGGGGTGAGGGTGTGGGGCTGTCCTGGAGCCCCCTAAAGCCACCCAGAGGTGCTGGTTGGATCCCAGGTGACTGGATTGGCCTGTTGGGCTCACGGTGGTGGAGGTGACTCCTCACCTGGGCAGGGGGATGTGGCTCCATGGCCGGGTCTGTGGGTGCAGGGTCGGGCAGGGATGGGATGCTCGACCCTTTGGCTGTGTCCCCCCTTCTCCTCATTGATCCCACACCTCTGGCTGACCCCACAGCACATCTGGCTGACCCCACAGCACCTCTGGCTGACCCCACAGCACCTCTGGCTGACCCCACAGCACCTCTGGCTGCTCAGCCCCTCAGAGCCCTTCTCAGTTCACTGGGAACTGTTCGGTCCCTTTGAGGTCTCGAGGCACCACAGAACTCCTTTCTCTTGTGGTTCCGGTTTTCCCATGGAAACCAAGGGCTGGATAAACCAGGCAGCTCCCCGGATTTGCTGCTGTTTTGCCCTCCTTTCCCTTCCATCCCAAACCCCTCCCTGTCCTGGGGGAGGTGGTTGCAGCTGGGGAAAAATAACACCTTGAGATGTGAAGTAGCACCCAGAGGAGATGCTGGAATGGCAGCAGCATCCCAGTGCCACAGGCTGGAGCCCAGTTTGTGCCTCCAACCCTTCCTGAAGGCCATGCCAGGGGGCTGTTCGCCCTCCCTGCAGCCTCATCAGCTCCATCCAACCCTGCCAGCCCCGTCTTCCTCTTGCTGTGCTCAAATCGGAGCCCTGGGAGGCCGATCCTGCCCAGCCCCAGGGTCCAACCGCCCCCACCTCTATTTCTCCCTCTCTGTCAGGCCCCTTCATGCCCGAGGAGCAGCCCCAGGGGTGGCTGTGCCTGCGGAAGCGCCTGTTCTTCAACCTCTCCGTGCTGGAGGAGGGCGAGCGCTTGACCATGGCCCAGCTGGAGATCAAATTCCACCACAATTCCTACCACCCCTCCCGCCAGGGGCAGGTCTTTGAGCTGAGGCTCTTCCAGCCCCCCGAGGCGTCCCCCCCGGGGGTGCCCGAGCCCAGGCAGAGCCCGCTGGTGGAACAGTCCTTTGCTCAGCTGCACAAGTCCCTCCTCTTCAACCTGAGCGCGGCGGCGGCGAAGGAGCGGAGGACGCGCGGCGGGAGCTTGGGATTGATCCTGGAGATCTCGGCGGGCATCGTCGGGGCCAGCGGAGCCCCGCGGGACCTCTGCTCCGGCATCGACTCCTTCCTGGACACCTCCCTGCTGGTGGTGACGCTGAGCCAGCAGTGCCAGGCCCCCCGGAGGAGGAGGAGGAGGAGGAGGAGTGCCGGGCTGCCCCCGCTCACCCCGAGCAACCTGTGCCGGGCGCGGCGGCTCCACATCAGCTTCAGCGACGTGGGCTGGGAGAACTGGATCATCGCCCCCCAGGGCTACCTGGCCAACTACTGCCGGGGGGAGTGTCCCTTCCCCCTGACGGCCGAGCTCAACAGCACCAACCACGCCGTCCTGCAGACCATGGTGCACTCGCTGGACCCCCAGGGCACCCCCCAGCCCTGCTGCGTCCCCGTCAGGCTCTCCCCCATCTCCATCCTCTACTACGACAACAGCGACAACGTGGTGCTGCGGCACTACGAGGACATGGTGGTGGACGAGTGTGGCTGCAGGTAGAGGGGCGGCAGGGGGGTGGCTGCCGGGCGGAACAAACCCCCCAGGTGGTTCCATCCCCTCCGTGCCGCTGGTCGGGGAGTTTCCCGTGGCTGCGTCGGGGGGGTCGGAGAGCTCTGGGGTGGCAGGAAGGGATCGTGGCTGGAGTGGTTTAGGGCTGAAGTTGTGATTTAGGGCTGGAGCTGTGTTTTTTAGGGCTGGACTTGTGATTTAGGGCTGGAATTGTGATTTAGGGCTGAAGTTGTGTTTTTTAGGGCTGGACTTGTGGTTTAGGGCTGGACTTGTGATTTAGGGCTGGACTTGTGATTTAGGGCTGGACTTGTGATTTAGGGCTGGACTCGTGGTTTAAGGCTGGACTTGTGGTTTAGGACTACCTGGGTGCTGGGCTGGGATTATGATCAAGCCTGGTGCTGGTTTTCCATTCCCTGTTCCACAGGGGGTGGCAGCACCAGGCTGTGAGTCCCAGACCCCCCCTGAGCTGTTGTTGCTTTGGGTTCCTCGGCTCGGCACCTTTCTCGGGGCATAAACGGCTTTTGGGGGTGAAATGGGGCTGGGGGGTCCCCGAGAGGGGAGGAGGTGACTGGTGCTGAGGGCACGAGCTCTGGGTGACCAAATCCCACCCCCGGGGGGGAGGCAGAGCCCGGGGTGGGACACACGAGGTTTCCTCCCTGGCTGGGGGAGCTCAGCCCTGAGCTGGTTTTATGGTGACAGGGTGGCTTGGGGGGCCAGAGGGGGTGGGTGGCCAAATGCAACGGAGGTTTTGCCCCAAAAAAGCCCCCTGGGAGCTGCAGGATGGAAGTTGTGGCCGAGGGGGGGGGGCTGTGGTGGAGGGTGGGCACGGGCAGGGGGTCGGTGGCATCTTCTCCCCTCCCAACCCGCTGTGTCAGTATTAATTTACCTCATTTGCAAATGGATGAGCCCGGGGTGGCCTCTGTCCCTGAGTGTCCCTCTGTCCCCGCGTGTCCCTCTGTCCCTGAGTGTCCCTCTGTCCCCGCGTGTCCCTCTGTCCCTGTGTCCCCCCCAGGTGGCAGCCGAGCACCAGGCACGGGCAGAGCTCTCAGGCCCTTGTGCATTTTTAGGGTTATTTCGGGTTTATTTGTTGCTTTCTGGCTTGGCCCCAGGCCCCTGTAGTGGTATTTAACGCCCCTAACGAGCAGCCCCGGGCAGCAGGGCCCCAAATCTGCCCCGTCCCCCCTCCTTGACCACTTTTCTTCCACTTCCCAGCGCGTGGGCTCCGAGTTTTCCAGCAGCAGCTCGAGGTTTAAATCCCAGGCCTGGCTCCTGAGTGTATGTTCAAAGCCACCCCCAGCCCTTCAGGTGGGGCTTTCCTGACACCACTTTCAGGGTTTGTTTTTTTTAATTATTTTAGAGTAAGGGGTGGGAACAGAACAGGAGTCCGAGTTAGACTTGAATTTTTTCTCTTTTTTTTTTTGGAACTGTGAACCTGCCCCTGCGGCCTCTGTTTATTTTCTCTGCTGTTTTTTGTGTCTTCTTCGAGGTCTGATGAAGTTTTACCACCTCCTTTCCCCTCCCCCGTGGCAAGCACTGAGGGTTTAACCACTGTGGGGGTCCCCTGTGATGGTGTTTTTTTGCTTAACAACACCCCCTAAAATGTGTAGCTGAAGACCAAGACCGGAGCAGCTCGGGTACTTTTAGGTGTAGCTTTTACTAATCTTTTCCCACCCAGTTGTGTTTTCCTGAGAGTTCCAGGGCAAGCCCAGCCCAGCCCTGCTCCTGCTGAAACCCACCTCAACCACTGAAGATGTTCTAAGGGCTCAGAGTGGGGCTTAACTCCGGGGTGTTAAATCCTAGATTTGAGATCAAGAGTAAAAAAAAAAAACAAACAAACCAAACCTTGAAGTATTAATTGTTTTGTTCCTGTGCTGGGGCCAAGAGGGGACTCCTGACCTGCTCCTCCAACACCACGAAGGGCAAATGTCCCCCTCCAGCAGCCAGGGAGGCACTGGAGCCACCCTGGAGTAGCTACAAGGAGTTTATGCCCAGGGTGGTGCCCAGACCTGGCCTAAACCCCCCCAGGGTGGTCCCAGGAGCAGCTCTGCTGAGCCCCCAGCCCTGTGCCCCAGGGAAAAGCCATGTCCATGTTTACTGCAGTGCTGGACTGGGCCCCTCCAGGTCCAGCCTTTCCCAAATCCTGGGGGCTCCCACCCTGCACCACCCCCAGGGCTCGGAGCAGGGAAGAGGGTTGGGGCATTTCCCAGTTTTCCCAGTTGAGTTGTTCACCCCCCCCTCCCCCATGCTATGCACACCCCCCCACCACCACCACTTTTGTACTAGTCTGTGTTTAAAAAAAGTAATAAACTTGAAGTTTATACAATCAGACTAAGCTTTAATGAACGTTGCATGGTTTCCTCATTGAAACTTAAGGGGCCACCTTGAATGCAAGAGCTGTTTATTTTCATATTTTATTGATGACAAACAGGTTTTAAAACAAACTGAGACAAAAAAAAAAAAAAAAGAAGAAGAAAAAAATCAAAAGAGAGTTGTTTTTTTTTTTAAACACCGTGCTAGCACTGATGTCTGGATTTGTAAAACTCAGAGTTAACTGCGCTACAAAGGAAAAAACCAGCACAAAGCAGAGGCCAAGCATTCCCAGCAGTGAAATAAAGGGGCGAGGGGAGAGGAGGGGGCTACATTACTCATGGATAGCGTTGCACAGAGGGGTCCAGCTCAAACCTATCAGAAAAGTCTACGCCAACTATGCAGCCTACGGAAGGAAAAAAAATAAAAATTAAAAAGCCCTTCGGCAAATGTTAATAAATAAAACAGTCCATCCCACGAGGAAGGAAGGTGGCCTGTGTCTCCATTCTTTCACTGTTTGTGTTTTTTTTTAGAAGTCTAAACTCTGGAGGCTTTTGATGAGAAAAGAATGGGGTTGTGGGTTTGGTTTTTTTTGCAGTTCTCGGACTCCGGTCGGGGCGGGACCGAAGGCAAAGGGTGAACGTGTGTCCTGGGGTACTGGGGGGGAGACACCCTGGGGAAACTACAGCAAGAACAGGTTGTGAAAGCAGGGGCAACAACCCACGGAAAGGACAGGAATGGAAGGGCTGCCCCCCCCCCCCAGGTACAAAAAGTGGGGTTTTCACGGCGTCGAAGTACATTCATATGAGAGGTATTTTTGAGTTCTCCCCCCCCCAAAAAAAAAAGACTAGAAACACTTGGAGCCCTTTTGAGTATAAAGCTAACTTATCTCCAACTTGAAAAACAGCCAGGTTAGCGGATCACTCTCTACTGCTCTTGGCCAATTGGGAGGTAGAGGTCAGTCTGATTCAGGGGTCTGGTAAAAAAGGGGGCTCTGCAGGAATTGTCACTTCTCTGCTGTTCCTAGAAAGGTTTAGACAGAAATAAAACGCTCCCAGTGTTCCCACACGACTCGTTAAGACATGGGTACAACTTAGAAATTGGATGGCTTCTCTTTAATGTGCTGTTCTCAGCCCTGACTCGTCAGCCAGCATGGATGGCACGGCCCTGGCCACCACCTGAAAAAAAAGCTGCTCCGGGTTTGCTTTGCCAACACCTGGCTCTGGCACCTCCCTGCTCTCCTCACCAAAGCCTGACCCATTATCTCTAATTAAACCCAGCTCCTCAGAGGCCACCTTCCACCAACTGCCTGCTTTGCCCGTGAGTCCCACCTGGAGCCGTGGAGTCTTTCCTTCCGCACCAAAATAATCCCCGGGTTCCGCTCCTTCTCCCCCACATCTGCGGCGGCCAAAGCAGGGGCTGGTTCTGTTTTGCATCTTCCCTCCAGGGGCCGAAGGGCACAGGAACCCCAATCCCCTTATCAAGCACGAAGTTCATCTGACAGAAAGGCTTGTTTTTTTTCACAGAGTAAGAGTCCAGACAGTAGCCAATTAAAGCAGACAGAAAACACTTTGAAACCCTCCTCCTGCCCGAGCGCGCAGGCTCCTCTCACTCTAACTGCTATCCAATGTAGGAAGAAGAGGCTGATTGCTGCAACTTTAAATCACACTGAAAAAGTTCTCAAGGTTCGGTGCTCTAATTTAAGTTTTGTTTGAAACAATATTTTTTTTGTTTTTGTTGTTTGTTTTTTTTTTTTTTTTTTTTTTTTTTTTTTGTTTTTTAAGGCCCTTCTCTCGAGCGTGGGGGTGACTGGGGGAGCAGGGACTCAGCTGACCACTCCTTTTGGGGTGAGTTCCTTCCCAGCGAGGCGCCAGCAGGTCCGTCAGGGCTCTCTCTCCTCCGCGGTCTCCTTGTCTCAGTGAGCTATAGCAGTGGGCTCTCTCGCGCGCTCCTTTCTTTCTCTCTCTCTCTCTTTCTCTCTCTCTCTCTCTCTCCGTTGGTTGGTTTCTTTCTCCTGTTGCTCTCACACAGTGGTGCTTCAGTTTTAGCAGTGGAAAACAGGTATCCATTTTATTTTATTTTTTTTATTACCCAGAATAAAATGCTGATGAACTAAGCTCCACGCAAGCTTAGCTCTTCTTCCTCAACCTGGAAGCGAGGAGACAAAAAGGGGGCTGTGTCAGGGACAGCACCGCTCACACAGACCTTTCAGGAGCTTGGAGGAGGGGGAGGAAGCAGAGGAGGGACCCCCCGAGGTTCTTACACTCTAATACTGTGACAGTCCCGTCACTCCACCATGTTGATATGCACGTTCACCCTGGTAAGTTGAGTCCTGTGACAGCGCCACGTCAATCTGGGATTTAAACTCATCACCAAGGTAACTGTCCTGGAAGGGAAAGGCTGTGTAAAGCTCCTCATCACCCCCAGGTGCTCCCTCACGAAGCTTTTAGAACACCTGGGGGCCCAGGTTAAAGTCTGAGGGTCTGCTTGGGTTTTTAAAATCCGGTTTGGTGAGGAATTTGCGCCAAAAAGGGGGTTTTGGTGGCTCAAAGTTAAGGCTCCGAGCCGGGGACTCTCCCTCCCTCTCTCTTAGATACTCTGCTTCTAAAATGTAAACAGTTACTGCCAAAATATAGTACCCCTTAGAAATGAGACCAGCTCTGAGATGAGGGTTTTCCTCTCCCTGTCTGCTCTGAAAAGTAGTTAATGTCCTGCTCGCAAAGAGAAGGATGGAACGAAGTGAAACCTGCTTTTTTGTTAAGGCTGAGGGCTGGACATGCAGCACTTCACCTTTCTGCCCCAGTGTGCTCTGAGAGTCAGTGCAGGAGCACGAATTGGTTTCAGTTTCATTTCCCCCAGTGCCAGAACAAGGACGTGCCTGCCCACAGACACCAACATAAATCCCAGGAAAAGGTCAGACCAGACCAGACTACTCACCCAACGCTGCTTACCTGTGATAATTCTGGTTGGGAGAGCCCAGGCTGACTCATCTGTGAAGGCTGACTCATGGAGATATAGCCCTGAGTCAGGGGGCCCTGGGAGAAAGGCTGGGACACCACATCTTGGCTCGCTTGGCTGTTGGGAAGGTTGGACTGACTCGTCCCGGGAATCCCAAAACGGTTTTTCTGGCGCCCGCCACGACCCGTCTTTCCTTTGGGAGCCCCACGTCCTGCAAATAAGGTTGGATCCCAACCAGCAGTGAGGAGTTTGGCTCATGCAAACAGGTTCCTTGATCCCTCCCAGCCCTGGAAAGGGGGGTTCTGCCCCCTCCCAGCCCCGGAAAGGGGGGTTCTGCCCCCTCCCAGCCCCGGTACCTGCGGCGGGTCCGTTGGCCTGGCCGAAGTATCCCGGGGGTGGCATCGGGGGCATCACCAGGTTGAAGGGGATGGGAATGTTCATGGCAGTGACGTGGCTGGGGCCAGCACTGATCATCCCAATCTGGTCGTGGGTTTGGAAGTACATGTTGGATGGGCGCCCTGCAGAGGAGGAAGGAGGAGGAGAAGTGATCCTGAATATTTAAAAATCAATTTATAGCCCTGCTTTTTATTATCAGGCTCGTGAGCAGGATGAACCAGAAATGGTAAGGACAGGCCAGGAAGCACCAGTATTTCTGGTTCACTGTTTATTCCACGCTTGAAAATTCCATAAGCTCATCTAACACATGTTCATTCCCACAGTTACTCTGCCACAGAACCATCTGAGATTCCTGAAATGCTTCACACGCTCCCTTTTTCCCCCTCATTTTTCAGACATCCAGTTAGACTGGTAGGGGTTCTATATACACAGAGAGCAAAAACCAGGCAGATTATGAACATTTTCAGTCCTAAAACTCCATATTTTTCTGTAGTGGCTCTTGTAACATTTAAAAGCTTAAAGTGTGTAAAATACCACACCACCTCAAGGACCAGTTAGGGGGAAAAACCAAACAAACAAACAAACAAAATCAATCTATAAAGGTGCTAATTTTGATAATTTCCTTTACCTTGACTGCTCCTGTCATAGACAGATCCTGGAATAATGGCCTCACGTGCATCATACATGGCAGTGGTCATGAAACGGGCACCCTGCAAGGATTAGGGGAGTTAGACAAAGCCTCTGCCTTGAAAACTCTGCCCTGCAACCTCAGTGAAATAAAACCCCAGTAAAACCCCACAGATCACGTCCAGTTTGCAAGTGTTGAGGAAATGAATTAGTCCCAAGACATGGAAAACCTCTGGTTATTATTTCAGCTGCAGCTTGACCACGAGGAGTTCAGATTTTACAGGCAGCCTCCCTCCAAGTGTGAAACATTTGATGGGTTTTCAGCCTATTTGAAGGCCCTGGTGATAGTTTTTCCCCTTGTTCTACTCACACCACTGCCCTGTGAGGGCTGACAAGCTCCCCCCCAACAACTCCTTATTTTAAGTTAAAGAATCAATTATAAAACTTGCAGGTTGAGGGTTTGATGCAATGCTGTGAAGTTCACCTGCCTCATGAGCTTGCCCCTTCTACACAGAGCAGTTCCTTTATGCTTCATTCACCTCAGAACTCACCCCCTCAGGAAACTGTGCAGTTAAAAACCCCCCAAAATTCCAACCTAGGGACGGCTGAAGTAGCCGCTTCCCGGGGTCCCACCCCACCAACCAGGCCACGGAGAGTTCCAGGGGTGTGGGGCTGTGCTGGGGACTGTTCATTCCACCCATTTGCAACTGATAATGAATCAATAGACCCCCAAGTGTCCCCTGTGCCAGCCCCGAGGGGCAGCAGGGCTCACTCACGGGGTTGATGGTGTTGACGAGCTTGCGGGGTTTGCTGAACTGCATGAGGCTCTCCCGGAGGTTGTTCAGTGGTCCCTCCACCAGCACCTTCTGCTCCTTGTAGTAATTCAGGAGGTGATTCCAGAGTGGCTGCTTAGACAGGGCTTTGGGGTTCCCCACAATAATTACTCCATACCTGTGTGCAGCAGCAGAGGAGCTCGAGTTAAGTTTGTTAAAAATCAATCGATGTTGTGAATCAAATTAAACACTGATGGTGGAGCAGCCTCCAAATCCATCTCTCAGCTGAAGCAGCCAAGAGAGCAGGAGGTGCAACTGGTTTGTTTACAGCAGATGTTTTCCACAGCGTGACAAAACACCTGGAAGGAGGTTGCTGCAGCCACTTTCTCAACAGTCACAAACTTCCTCCTTCAGGCTTGCCCAACACGTCAGTGGGTGCCAACAAACACCACCTCCTGCTGGGTTCCAAAGCTCCCAGAAAACAAGGGAGACAACCAACATCGTGTTGGATTCCACATCATCTGTCTTGGAATCAAATCCCTTAGAAGCAAAAATGGTCCAAAAACGTTTTTTGGAAGGGATAAAGAAGCAGGGAAGGGATCTGTCCTGAGAACAGAGGGGAAGGACACAGGTTGAAAACTACTGATGCCAAATGGGAACACTGTCTGGGCTGAGAGGAACAGAGAGAGATGGCACAGGATGGTTTGGGTTGAAAAGGGCCTTAAGGCCCATCCAATCCCACCCCCTGCCATGGGCAGGGACACCTTCCACTATCCCAGGTTGCTCCAACCTGGCCTTGGACACTCCCAGGGATGGGGCAGCCACAGCTTCTCTGGGCAACCTGTGCCAGGGCCTCCCCACCCTCCCAGGGAGGAATTTCTTCCCAGTATTCCACCTAACCAGTCAGTGAAGCCATTCCACCTTGTCCTGTCCCTGCAGGCCCCTGTCCAAAGTCTCTCTCCATCTTTCCTGCAGGTTCCCTCCACGTGCCCAATCCCGCTTTACCTCGCCCTGGTAAGGGCCACGTTGAGCCTCCTGGGGTCATTGAGGAACCCAATCCCCTGGTGTTCGTTGGCCCTCACACAGGAAAGGATAATGAAGTCCTTCTCCCTGCCCTGGAAGGCATCCACACTCGCAATTTCCACTTCCTGCAACGGAGGAAAACACGTAAATCACGGAAGCCAAACAGTTCTGCCACCAACAGGCACTGCCAGACGTGCTGGCCACGCACTAACCCTGCCATCACTGGACAAAAATGTTACTTTTGGAATGAGGAATGATTTGGTAATTCCACTGGTCACGAAATAGTTTCCCCGGAGGAGAACAGAGAGCCTCAGTTTAGGAGGAATTGCTGTCGTGTTCAGTGCTTTATGGTCCTCCCATTTCCCCCAAACTGTGGGAATCAGCCCTTTGCTGGGATGCTGCCAGGGAGAATTCTGAGTATTCCTAAACCCCACAGGAAGAGAGGTCCAAATTAGCACTGCTGCTCCCAGCTCCCAGAAACCTGAATCACAGGGACAGATCATTCCTGGCACGAGCAAAAGTATCTCCACCAAGTTTCCCTTCAGTGAAAACACTGAGCGAGTTCCCAATATTGCAAAACAAGACTGGATTAAACATATAATTGCCTTGTTTGCAGCAACTAATTCTGATGTTTGGTAGAGGAGTCCCACTGATGGGAGGACATGTTCCCAAGCAAATAAATAGTATGATCATCAGAATTTACAGAGCTTGTTTTCCTGTGTGTCTCTTTATCCAAAACACAAACTTTTCCACAGCTGGAGCCCCAGTGGCCTCTCCCTTCTGGGCCTCAGGACCCTTCCTTTCAACACAGATCTCAGCAGGGCTTCCTCCTTTTACCTGTTCAGCTGCTCCCCTGGCCCCTGCAACCACCTCCCAAACTCCTCTCCCTGCTCTGTTTTAACCACAGTCAACTAAAAAGTGCAAAAATCCAACACGGACTGAAAATGAAAATATTTGTGAGGCTTTTCTGACTTCTCTGTGCTCTCATCTGTACCTGGTAGAGCTTGGTGTGCAGGGAGCCACTGAACTGCATGTACTGCACCAGGTAGGAGCGCTGCCCTTCATAAGGAGTGATGATGCCAATCTGGTCTGGTTTGGCACCAGCCTTCAGCAGCTTCGTGGTGATTTTCTCCACGTTGGCAGCTTCCGTCCTAGAGGGGACAGAGGTTGGATTATCCAAGGAGGATTAGACACATTAGGTCTCATTTTTTGCAGCTTAATGGGTCTAAAAACATTGAACACGGATGCTGTGAGGCCACTCCAATAAAAAGATCAATTCTGCACTGCTCAGACTAACTCAGCTCAGGAACATTCCCCACTGTCACCTCTCGACTCAGGCAACGCACAGATCTCACCCCAGAGGGACACAGGCCAAACCCAACATCTCAGAGGTCTCAGAATGACACAAATTTCTCCTTAGGTGCACCTCCACCTCCTCAGAATTACACAACTGGACTTCCTGGAACAGCAAATGGAACTTTTGGTAGAGTCAAATGTCCACGTGTGCTTTTATAACCAAGAGCATCAAAAACAACCCCAACCCTGCCGTGCAAACGGATCCTTCAGGTGCTTTATCTCAAAGCTTCAAATGCAGAACTGTTTTTAATGTCAATCAGCCAATTATTGTGCTGTTTGTTTGTGCACAATCTGCTCTGCTGTCTCCAGTCTTGCACATGCTGCTCAGGAAAGCAGACTGGGATTAAAAATATCTCAGCAGTTATTTTTCAGAGCTTGGTCTTGGTTTCCCTTCCAGGCACATGAACAAAACATGTACAACCAAGAGGAACAAAGTGGTTTAAGCTCCTTCTTTGACAAAGAAGTTGGACTGTGCAGAAAAAAAGGGTAGGAAAAAGAAAATTTAAATTCCCATCCCTTTTGTGCCACCACAAAAATCCAAGATTCAGGGCTCTGCTTCAGGAGCAGCTGGAATTCTGGCTTCAAAATGCAACTGGATCAGCATTTCCTGCTGTAACTGCAGTCAGTTTATTCATCCCACAGATCAGGCACTTTATCATCCCTTATACAACCTTACACAACCAGTGAAGGAAGACAAACTCCTCCACAGAGCAATTCAAACCCACTTAAGCTCTGAACTGCTCCCACTTGGTGCCTTTTTCTCCTGGTTTACTGTACAGGGAGCCCAGGGCAAACCAACCCCAACCTGCAGCTCAGGCTGCACCATCCTCCACGGCAGCTTTTGTTCAAGAGGCCCACGGGCCTTTTCAACTGGTCATTAATTACCCCTGAGGTTTTATTAACTCAGAACTGCTGCAGAGCATGGGAGTGAACAGCCCTGAGTCCTGGTGTCCCAGCACACGAGTGTGGATGTCAGAGGGGAGTTTTATTTTACCCGTCTGAGTTTTATTTACCTGTTCAAGTAAGAGGTGCCTGAGCTGGCAATCTCCTCCTGTCCTTGGGTGACGTAGAAGAACATTGGTTTGTCAGGCTGTGGCCACTGAAAGTCAAAGCCTTTCTTCACTCGGTCAGCTGAGGAGCAGGAGAACAGCAGGAGGAACAAAGTTAACAGGAACACTCGGATACTTCCATAAATAAATACTTCAAACTAGGGGCAGCGGTAACTCTTTTCATTCCAAAGGAATAACCCAGGTTAAAGAAGCCTGTCTTTGACCTCCCCAGTGCCTCTGGGGGAGCAGAGTGGCTGCTCACCTGCAGTGACCCCGTTCTGGAGCGAGCCCTCGTAGAAGATGTTGGAAGGGAAGGCGCTGAGGGCGGGATGCATCCGGTACTGCACCTGGAGCCGGATGGGCCGGATCCCCAGCACCACCAGCCTCTCAAACAGGGACTGGGACAGCCCAGCCTTGGCAGCTTTCTTGCACATCACCACGGGCCCCAGCTGGCAGTGGTCACCCACCAGAATGAGCTGTGGGGAAGAAGAGCGCGTAGAGAAAGTTTATTTTCTGAAACTTGCTTAAAACAGTGGCAATGTCCTACTGAAATATATAGAATCACAGGGTGGTTGGGGTTGGAAGGACCTTAAAAGATCATCCAGTTCCACTCCCTGCCACGGGCAGGGACACCTTCCACTCTCACAGGTTGCTCCAACCTGGCCTTGGACACTTCCAGGGATGGGGCAGCCACAGCTTCTCTGGGCAACCTGTGCCAGGGCCTCCTCACTCTCACAGGGAATAATTTCTCCCGAATATCCAATCTAAACCCACCCTCTGTCAGCTCAAACCATTGCCTGATGTATTAGTAACTTCCCAGTCTGGCTTGTGATAAGCTTCAGGTCTCACCTAAGGCTTAGGAACCTTTAGTGCCAACTCGCTTTGCAGCTGATCATTTGGAAATAAAAGCTTATTCAGCCTCCAGATTGTTCCAAGAGCAGAAACTGTTCCAGGCAAAGATTACGCCATGGAAACCGAGAGCTGACAGGACTAACACGACCCAGAGTCGCTCAGGTTTGTACCATGGAGGTGCCTTTCAGGAAAAGGGAAGAATTCTGCATCCCTGCGTGCCTACACGGGGAATGTCACTGCTTGGTGCTGCCTGCTGGATTTAGAAACTCCTTCTGTGCTGGAATGCAAGGGGCTCACCTGCTTTGCTCCCAGCACAACGGGCACCATGCACTCGGGCTCGGTGGCCTGGGTGCTCTCATCGATGAGGATGGAGCGGAACTGCATCTTGGCCAGCCTGGGATCCCCGGCCCCCACGCAGGTGCAGCAGATCACATCCGCGTTCTGGGACACAAACACAGCACCAGTCACCCAACTCCCAGCCCAGGAACGCCCCCAAGGTGCTCTGAGCTCCAGCAGCAGGCTGCAGCTCAGGTCAGGGGGGAGCAGAGCACGGGGATCCTCACCATGAGCAGCTCCCGCTCCGCGGTGCGTTTGAGCGCCCGGTAACGCTTCTCGTCGGCAGATGAGAGCTCTCCAGTCTCATCTTTGAGCTGCTGCAGTTTCTGAAGCTCTGGCATGCTGCAAAAAAAAATAAATAAACAAATCAGGAATTTTGCTTTAGGGCCTGACTGTTTGTAGGATCACAGGGAAAGTAATTTTTAATAATTTTAATAATTTAATCGTGACGCGTACAGAAGAGCAAAGTCAAGCAAACAACTGAGCTACGACAACATCCACCAGTCGTGTCCCTCACAGCACCAACACCAGGGGGTTCTGCTCGTTCCTCACCTGTCCATGTTCCTGATCTGGTTGTGCAGTGCCAGGAAGGACACGGGGGAGTCGATGGCCTCCCTGCTCTTGGCACACAGACGCACCACCTTCAGCCCGGTCTGGTGGATCTTCTCGGTGAGCTGGTCCACGGCGATGTTGCTGGGGGCACACACCAGCACGGGCCTGGGGAAACACCAGCCAGCAAGGCTCAGGAAGCTGCAGATTTTTCTCCACTAGACTCGTGGTAAAACAACGTGCAATGACACCCCCTTCTGAAAATAATAAGCTGGGGAAGGGTATTTGCTGAGCCCGGCCCAAGCCTTCCCAGAAAATGGCAGTAAATGATAGGAATGAGTTTGGGGTTTAAAATCAAGGTGATTCCTTCCATTAAGAAAGTCACCTCGTGCATCAAGACTCGGAGAGAGCAGTTCTTACCCGTTGCCCTGTCTGGCCAGATGATACACGATGGTGGCTGATGTCACTGTTTTCCCAGTGCCAGGGGGACCCTGAATAAGGCTCAGAGGACGCTGCAGGACAGTTTTCACAGCATAAACCTATAAAAACGGGGTTTATTGCTAATTTAGCATTCAATGCACAGGATGTTGAAGTTGTTTAACCTCCATTCCTAAATCCTTCACGTAGCAAAGGGGAGAGGGGGCTACCTGAGAGTGGTTGAGATCAGGAAGTCCTTGTGCTGTGAAGCGCTTTGGCAACTGGCATTTAATAATCACATCTTCCACCTCGTGGCCCAGCAGCTTGTGATAGATGTACCCAGACACTGAGGTCTCATCCACAGCAAAGGTTTTGAGAGCACTCTGCATCCTGAAAGGAGGGAAGGGATGAAAAATAAGTCAGGGAGATCAGCATGACCTCAAGTCAACCATCCCCTGCCAAGGTTCGGCAGACAGCGGGCACAAATTGAAATTACACTTCTTGGAAAAGAGAGCAGTGGAAAAGACTTACTAAGAGAGTTAAGGGACAAAAAAGTTACACTCTCAGAACACAGAGCTTGTTTTTCTCCATGTGAACATTACAAAGGAACCAGAAAAAGGTGCAGAGGGACACCAGCCTTTGGCAGAAGCTGGGACGGGGATTTTAGGTGCAAGATTTGAAGAAAAATTGCACTCATAATAAAGAATAGGATATATTGCTACTACTACTACTAGGATATACTAATAAAAGGAAATTCTAATATCCTAATAACAGGATAATAAGCCAACTTACAAAGTGCAGTACAGATGTGGCTGAAGCCCTTTGACCCCAAATGCCTTGAAATTTTAACCAGTTAAAGCAACTCCAAGCTCAGGAATGCCAACTAAAACCAGGCACCACTTCCCTACAGAGGAAGCTGAACTACAAAACTGTTTTTCTTCTCACATTTCAAGTATTAATAACAGAAGGTGAATTCCCCCCTTTGATGTATTTGCAGCAAACCTTAAGAGTGCCTTCAAAATGGGAAAAACTGACCATTTTAAGACATTCAGGTAATTCCATTTCTAGTCAAAAATCTAGTTGCTCTATGAAGCAGGTGTTCCCACACTCCACACACTGAGATTTCTGATTGCTGGTGTCAAAGTAACACGAATTTTTCTGGATCAAAAACACCCATTGGAGGCAAAGAGAAAAAAAAAAACCACACAGGGAACCTGCACCAACCACGTGCCAGGTTCTGTTTTCCCAATACCTGTCAAAGGAAGTAGATTTCCATACAAAATCCACTTGGAAGTTGTGAGTAACTTCCACAGGGGCTCCCACGCTGCTCCTCAGCTCGATGGCAATCTCATCACCATAATCTGTAGAACCTCGTTAAGTAGTAATTTATAGCAACAATTTGAATTTTATTTTCCCCAATTCCGGTCATTTTTTTTTTTTTTTGACAGCAACATCCCCCCAGGACAAATTGAAATTATCTCAGAATTACTTCTGGACTTATTTAATGGCTTCTTGGAGAGGCTGCAGCTCCAGGCTGAGCTTTATTTAAGTAAAGGATACTATCAGGAACTTTGATAACGTGACCAATTCCCTTCCACAGCGGGGCCAGGTCTCCTTTGTACCTCAGGCAGATCTCATCTCCTTGCATGAGCCTCATGTCTGCAAAGGAAGGGGAAAAAAAGGCTCTCAGCAACCATCTCCCACCACAGAAACCCTTCAAGAACTACCTGCTGTCCCAGGTCAGATCCTCACGGTTCTTCAAACATTGATTTTTTTTTTCACCGGGTACAAAAAACCCCCCACAAAACAATCCAGTTGTCATTACCTGAGTCAGTCTTTGGCAAAGTGAAATAAGCAATTCTCTTCTTGTTCAAGCCCAGGTCCCATCTGACTGTGATGTTATCTTGGGTCTAAGGGTAAAAGAAAAAAAAAAAAAAGGCATTTATTATGTTCTTAAAGAGCTGTTTTTTGTGTTCTTAAAGAGCTGTTTATTGTGTTCTTAAAGAGCTGTTTATTGTGTTCTTAAAGAGCTGTTTATTGTGTTCTTAAAGAGCTGTTTGCCAACTGTGCTTCAAAACACCAAAACCTGGCGTTCCAGTGTCACAGAAATCTGGATTTCTTGCTCTGGACTGAGCTGCCACCATCTGCAGGAGGTTAATTCTGTTCCACAAAAGGGAGTTGTGAGAAACAAAGCCCTAATCAGCACCTGGGTTATTCTCTCCTCCACCTCCCCAACGCTCCCGAAGTGCTTCCATGACCTCACAGAACTCAGGTTTCACTGGCAGGTCCCACCGAGGTCCTGCAGGTCACCAGGGGAACAACACACAGGGGGGGAGCTCAGGTTGCAGCTCCGGGACAGAACATTGTTCTTGGAAAGAAAAACTTCCAACACAAAAAACATGGAAGCTCCCAAGTGTTTCGAGCTCTTAAAAAAAGAAAAATCTCAGTTGGAGGATTTTTCTTTCCTCTCCCACTGATATTACATCCCAGTAATTAAGATATTTATTCCACTTAAGGCTTCCTTCAGTGCTCTAACAGTGACCCTGAGTTTGACACCAGAGGACTGGTCAGAAAACCCCTCAAACAGGCAAATTTCCAAGCAAATTACCTGAGATTCCTTGAGTTTCTTGTCATAATCTGCCTCAAGCTTGACTAGAGGACCAAATATATTTTGGTATTGATAAGCATCTTCGTATCTAAGCAGGACGTGCTGTGGTTCTTCATCCACACCAGGCTTTTCCAAGTCCTCCAGGGTTGCAGATGGATTTTCCTGGAATTTAAAGCACAGGTGTTTCGTTTCAAAGCCTGAAGGATAAAGAAGTGACACCAGGATTTGTGCCTTGGTACCACAGGGAGTTGCACCAAGGTGTAAAAGCTACACCAAGGCATTCCATTAAGTCCAGCCAGGCCTGTCCTGCTCTAAGGGGTGTACAGAGAAACCCCTCAAAAAATAATGATTAACAGCCCAGCTGCTCAACACCTAAAGCAGAAACCCGTGGGAAGACTTGATATGGGGAAAGCTGCTTTTTCAGATGGCTGAAGAACCTAAAGGTGAAGCTTTCCCACTCTGAACAACAAATCCCTGAACCCTCTGGCAATTCCCATTGTCCAGGGGTGTGATCTCAGTATTTCCCTGCCTTACCCAGTGGTCAAAAATCTTTTCCCTCCTTCCCAGCACCCCGGAATTGGCACTTTGGGAAGAGCTGAGCCGTGTTTGAGGAGCAGCAGGTACCTTCCAGAGCTCCTCCAGCTTGTTGATCTGCTGGGCCGTGATCTGGCGGGCCCGGAGCTGCTCCTGCTCCGACGGGATCTTCACCAGCCAGGAGAGGAAGCAGCGATCCTGGATGAGGGGCTGCCACTGGGAACTGTCCCAGTTGATGTCCTTCAGGCTGCTCTGGCTGGCACAGGGCTGCCTGCACGACCAAAACAAGGGAAAAAAATTAATGATTACACACATGTAAGGAGTAAAACTGGGTTTGGTGTGTGGCTCCTGAAACAACTCAAATATCTCGGTTAAAAGGGGGGGGGAAAAAAAGGCAAAACAACCCCCCCAGTCTGCTGTGAAAATTAAGTTTTTTAGCTCTTGTGTTTGTTGTTTCAACACTGGGAAGGGTCAGTGTTGTAAGAAGTGTTGGTTGGGTGTTTCTAGGGCTGAAAATGTCTGCATCTAAAATGTCAAACATGACACCCTTGGGAGTGGTTACAGTCCATTATAGCAGAAAATGGGATTACTTCCCATCTGCTGCTTAAACAAGTAGGACTCATTCCACAGAAACACACTGGCCACTGTCAAATACAAGCTCAGTGACAGCACTGAATTAAAATACAGTTATAAAACCTGACTGGACCTGTCAGAGAACAATTCCTGATTTACTGCTGTCTCCAATGGTTCCATGAGCTGAGAGGAAAAACACCCTGTGGAAGAGTCACTACTCCAGAGTAACTTCCTGGACTGGTCTGTTCCTCTTCCAAAGCTGAAAAATCTCAGGTAAAAAAGGGGTAAAAAGGGGTAAAAACCCCCACCTTTCTCCCACCAAGGAATCCTTCCTTTGGGAGAAATATTTCTCTATAAAACTCCAATATTTGCCCAGCATGACAGAACTTTCCTTCCCTGCATTACCTGCTTGCAACCCTGAAGTCTCTACGACCATCCCAAGGAAAAAGGGGTGGCAAAACAAGAGCATAAAAGGTATTTTGGTGCAAAATGAAGGCCAAGAGCTGCCCTTCAGAAAGCACAAAGGTGGCAGCAGAGGCCTCCTCTCACCTGCACAGCAGAACAACCACGGAGTCCGCCTTGGCTGGGATGAAGCCCAGGAGGAAGACGTTCCGACAGCCACAGTTGTAGCATTCCAGGACGGTCTCCCCCAGAGGTCCATCCTTGTGCAGAGTCACCTCTTTGCACTTGGCTCTCACCAGGTGGTTCACAATGTGGCTGAAACCAAGAGAGGAGATGCATTTGTAGCCAGTTCGTGGGAAAGTCACGTTTAGTCCCGACTGAATTGATTAAAGGCACAAATAAAATCTATTTATTGTGGCTCTTTTCACCCACCACCACTGGTTCCTCAGTGTGTGGGTGTTTTGAGGTAGTTTAGTGTCCTGAGTAAGTGGCAGCCACCACGACACTTCCAAACAAACCCCCTAAACCCGGAATTGTCCCAAGATTCCCCTCCTGTCACCCCTTACCTGCCCGAGGTGTTCCCACGCCCGTTACAGAACCACTTCTTGCTGGTGTTGCAGTAAACCACACAGGCAGGGTCGTGGATCCCACAGTAACTGGAGTTCAGGAGGAAAGAACCAGGAAGTGATTGGGTGATTGCTCCCAGGAAAATTCCAATATGAGATCTAAGCCATTCAGCAGTGCCCAAAAATAAGGGGAAGTGAAGACTGGGGAACACGAGGGGTGGGAAGGGCATGGGACACGAGCCAAGCTTCTGTTCTGAGGCACAAATATTTTAATACTTCCCACCACTGCCATCCCTGGGGTGGCTGATCCTTGTCTTTATTCCCTCAGGGAGTTCAGAGCTGACCCTCCCACCACTGCCATCCCTGGGGTGGCTGATCCTTGTCTTTATTCCCTCAGGGAGTTCAGAGCTGACCCTCCCACCACTGCCATCCTTGGGGTGGCTGATCCTTGTCTTTATTCCCTCAGGGAGTTCAGAGCTGACCCTCCCACCACTGCCATCCCTGGGATTGACTGATCCTTGTCTTTATTCCCCCAGGGAGTTCAGAGCTGACCAGGAGTGGATGTGGCAGCTCTAAGTCTGTCCAGGAGCTCAGAGGGTCTCAAAATGCCCAAATCCCCCCTTCATTCCCACCAAATGCTCCTTCCCTCTGGGAATAAAGCCTGGGTTTTACCTGCAGGCATGCACAGGGAGATCCTTGGTGTAGTAGGTGTCCTCCTCATCCTCCTCAAAGTTGAGCTCTGCCAGGAGCTGGCTGGTCTTGGCCACGTTCTCATCCACAGCCCCGTTCTGCAGGATCCCATCGGGACCATTCACCTGGAACACAGCTCAGAGCTCCAGTTCTGCCCCCAAACCACCACAAAGCCAAGGAAAACCACCCCTGCTCCTCCCAGCAAACGCTTGTGTTTCCTTTAAAACCCTCAACAGGGAAGAAAAATGTTCCTAAGAGCCGAAAAACACACATTATGGACTCAATCCATCAGCTCCTGTTTTACAGGAATATTTATTTAAACTCCAGCTGATAAGTGGGGGGGGGGAAAGTTGCCAAAAGGAGATTGCTTTGCTGCAGTCCCATTTTTCCACAGCCTTACATAACTCCTAATCAATACCTGCCCCATTACCTCCTGCTTCCTGGGATTAGTTAAACTCTCCAACTGATAAGTGAGGGGGGAAAAAAAAGTTGCCAAAAGGAGATTGCTTTGCTGCAGTCCCATTTTTCCACAGCCTTACATAACAGAATTCCATTTAAACAATATTCCAGCAGGATCAAACACTGGGGTTTTGTTGTTTTTTTGGTTTTTTTTTTTCCCTCCTATTTTTTTTTTTTTTAATTTCAGGAATCCACCTGAAAACAGGATCTTTGCTGTACAGGACTTCCCTCACTTATTCCTGTTGTTGTTGACACACCAGTGCCAGAATCAGGGAATTCTGCACCATTTGGTGCTGGGTCAGCAAGTTTTGCACCCCCATTCCCCCCCCAGCCTCTCTCCTGGTAAAAATAACTCCTTTTTTGGGCACATTTCCCAGCAGGAAGGAGCAAAAGGGGTGTGGATGTCACTTGGATTTTGGCACGGCCAGGCCAGGTGGTGCCTCTTGGGCCTCCCAGGTGTCCTGGTTTCATTCCAGCAATGAGGGGCTTCAGCACCTTCAGCACCCCCCAAAAACTGTGCTCTGACACTTTATTCTTGGGCTTGTTCAGCCAAGATCCCACCAAACCTGAGGAGGGCTAAGTATGTCACAATCCATGGTAATTTTGAGTGGGAAAAGGTGGGAAAGGGATCACCACAGTGACAGCAGTGATTACACAACATTAACATGAAATCAGTGCTGAGGTAACTTCCCTATCACAGCAAATTCAGGTGTATTTACCCCTCCCAATGTTTCAGAAATATGTTTGGTTGGACGAGATTTATCTACAAATGGGAGGATAAAAACAATCACTCCAGGCCTTTGTCTGAGAAAACAGCATTTTAACAACTGGTTTGCACTGAGATTTAATGCAATTTATCTGATATCTGAAAGCAAACTGTCCCCAGTGAGAACACCAAACCTTTAGTCAAAAGAAAAATAAAAATCTGATTGAAACAGTTGCTGCAGCATTTTCAAGCTGTTGAGGCTCCCAAGCGAAGCAAAACCACCTCACTCCTCTGAAAGTCTCCTTTGGGTTCCAGGCCAGGCAGTTTCAATATTAAAATTGAACAGAGTTAAAATTAAAACCCAGCAGGAGCCACTTCACACTTGCCCTCAGCAGCTGGGGACTGGACTGGGTTCAGTTTTGTTACCTACAGATGAAATGAGGTGAGTTTGTAAAACAGTTAAATGCTCTTTTTATGGATGGCTTTGAACAGAGAGAATCAACCAAGAGGAACCATCAGCAGAGGGGAAAAAGGAATTGAAAAAAAAAAAAACCAAACAAAACCCACTGAAGGAGGTGCAGCAGCAGCAGCACAAGCCACCAGTGTGAGGAGACAAATATCCATTTAAATGGATATATCCACTTAAAATTGATAGTGCCATCTCATAAAACAGGGCAACAGCTTCATGACTGAGCGTGAAACAGGTGGAATTCTGAAGCTTTAAGCTCAGCTGAATTTCTCAGAAGCAGCAGCACTACCAGGCTTTCTCTGTCCTGAAACAGGCACATTTCTCTATTCTGTTTTTTTCTACCCCAAAACAGGTGCATTTTTCTGTTCCAGAGACACTATGAACACACGCCAGCTGACAAATTTAATTGGTCTTTTCAATACATTTAATACATTTCTTGGGTGCTCCTAAAAACCTGGGATTCCCTGAACCGGAATACAATTGGAAAACTTGGGTTTTCTTAGGGGTTTCTGCTTTTTTTTTTTTCCTTTTTAGGGCAGAAAATGAAGAAATAGCTGCGAGTTCCTTGTGGCTGTGCACGAGGTGACCGTGCTGGTGATCCCCTGGCGAGCTCCTGCCCTCAGCTGGGCAGGGATGATGTCACTGATGTCACTGATGTCACCTGTCCTGGGAAGATCCAGCGGCAGCCAGAGGCCCTGGCAGGCTCCCAAGGAGGAAGTGCTTGTTCCCAACCCTCCTGTGATGTCACTTTATGTGCACAGGATTAAAAATCTGGCAGCAGGAACTGGTTTGTGTGTGTGTGTGAGAGGGAGGGAAGGGGGGGGGAACTTCTCTATTTTCCAAGTGTTGGCTGCAACTTCTGGCACAGCAAGTTGAGCAGCTCCAAAGCTGAGGTGCCACAGAACCACCCCTGGGACTTCCCTGATCCTTTTCCTGGCCTCTGGAATAGTGGTTGGGGGACAAGAAAGTCCAAGCTGTGGCTGCTCCTGGATCCCTGGAAGTGTCCAAGGCCAGGCTGGAGCAGCCTGGGAGAGTGGAAGGTGTGGGACTGGACGGGCTTTAAGGTCCCTTCCAGCCCAAACCAGCCCAGGATTCCCAGGTGTGAGTGCCCAGAGAACATTCCCAGCCCCATTCCCGCCGGCTCTCCTGGCTCACACACCCCACCCAGCCCAGGAGAGCACACCTGGATCCACCTCCTGCACTTCCACCTGAAAGTGCTGCATTTCAAGCTGGAACAGGAAAAACTAATTGCACTTCAGGAGGTGCTGGGCTGGAAAAGGGCTTTTGCACCAGAGCCTTCAGCCCCAGCAGCCGTGGGGATGTGTTTGCAGCTGGGCCCAATTCAGGGAATTCTCCTGGAATTATACTTAGGAAAACACACATTTTTTTGGACTTGGGTGGATAATCTGAGTTCTTGTTTGTAGATTCTTTGCTCTGAGGCCCTGAAGTATTTACTGGAGGGTCTGATAATCCCTCAGAAGGCTGATCTGCTTTCCCTTTCAAAAGGAGGAAGTGGCTCTCAGTGAGAACTCTCCCCCCACACCCCACCCTGGGCCCAGCTTCCAGATGGGACCTGAGCAACAAGAAGTCATTTTGCTGAGACAAAAAAGGGCTTTGTTAGGGCTGGAAATCAAACCCAGCCTCCAGAGTCTAGACCAAAAAAAAAAACAAAAACCTGAGGGCTGCCCCAGCTTCCTTCAACCAACTCCAGCAGCTTCAGCTCCCACATCCACACCGGGGGCATTGCTGGGACAGGCCTTGGCTCAGGAGGGGGAAAACGAGGCAGAAATGAGAATTTCGGGGAACTAGAGACTGGGTTGGGTTGGAAAAACCTAAAAGATCAACAAGTCCCACCCCCTGCCACGGGCAGGGGCACTTTCCACTGGCCCAGGTTGCTCCAAGCTGGCCTTGGACCCTCCCAGGGATGGAGCAGCCACAGCTTCTCTGGGCAACCTTTAAATTTCCCTTAAAACATTCAGGCAAATCCATTCTTATATTTCACCAGAGGGAAACAATGGGAATGCAGTTTCCTGAATTAAAACCAGCAGAGAATGCCTGCCCTTTATCTTTTGTCCATTGGACACTAACCAACTTTAACAGCCTCTTAAACTATTAATTAAATATACAAAATAAACTTTATTAACTAAATAAACTAAGTTTTTAGAGACTAATCCATCACATTTCCCTAAAAAAAAAAAATAAATAAAAAAAATCAGGTGCCCTGCACTGCTCAACTACTTTTTTTTTTTTTTTTTTTTTTTTTTTT